CTGCTGGAGTGGGATGTACTCTGAGCAATCTCCATTTTTGATAATAAGTCCGATTCACCACTGAGTCAACTAACAAAAATGCATATTGAACAAAGGCCTCACCAGAATAAGGTCACTGGTTCCAAGCAAGCTTCATAATGACTATTGTAAGTGCTTCCGTATCTAAGAAAAACATAGCTTTAAAATTACTTATTAACTAAATTTAGGTGTATATTGACCATGTCCTCCCAGAGCTGAATGACTGAGTTGCCTAGGGGAACTGAGGACCCACCTAGTATGCTGGCTCCTGAGCAAGTAAAATAAGTGTTATTACTTCACCTGGCATCATCCAAAGAGTAATAACTGCACTGATGAGACAAAGATTCAGTCTCAATAGTTCATGCACACTCAGAGCTGCTCCTAAAAATTTAAAACTATTTCTTAACATTGTAAAGATTAAATTTTCACTAAATCCAAGAGAATTATTTGGGAACATTTTTAAAAAAAAATTATGATTACTTAAAAAAAAATTGCATTCAAGTGTAGGCTGCTTCATGGATATATTAATTTTCACCATGTGTTTTATTATTAAACAAGCAATTCAGAGAACAGGTGTTTATCAACATATAAGTAGTAAAAGAAAAAATAACTATTTTATATAAGTATAAATATATGGAAGAGAAATCTGTTCCTAACAATAAGAAAATGTCACTTAGCATTTTGAAAAGACATTAAGTCCTCTGTTCTCATCTCTAGTATAGGAAACGGGTATTTTAAATCAGAACTTGAAGTTCACCCACAGCTGTCTTCCTTTCAAAGAACCATAAAATCTCCCCTTTGGATTAAAAGGCACTGGGTTAAAAAAAAAAAAAAAGAAAAAAAAAGGTTGTGTAAATCTGTTTTTAGCAAAAAACCCACAAGCACAGTGTTGTAACACAGAACTTGAATGGCTTTTTAATGTGGTTAAGGCAATAACTATTACTGTATTGTACATACCAGGATAGACAAAAGCATGCTGTGAGCAATGAAGTTAGTACTTATACCTTTCAGGTATCATCATTTTCCAGAATGACACATATAAACTGATTAATAGGTTCGAAAGCAATTAAAAAAAGAAAGCCCAGACCAGCGCTTGCTGGATAAAGTCAGGTACTTTTAAATTGTGTAGCATTTAGATGCATGTAAGTAAGGGGGAATAGGATGGCAAATAAACCTCAGAAGAGCAGGGTGGTAAAATACCAGACCACAGAGGTTCCAACAACTCATGAAGCAGCACGGCTGTGCTTGTTTGAATTTAGACTATTAGTATATGCAGGGACAGATTTCATCAGCATTTCATCAAGCACCAGTTAATTAACAGGACCGAAGTACACAAAGGCATCCCACTTGCCAATGGCCTCCAAACCATGTCTGCTAGCCATTACTCGTTAGCACGGTATATTTCTAGCACACCATAAATTGTACAAACACAGGCTCTCTGATTTCCTACCAGATAGTTAAGAAAACCCCTTTGAATAACAAACCACAGGGCCCTTTCTAATTCAGGGCTAGTGCAGAAAATTAAAGGCCAGCCATCTGCATGCCCAGCCCTACCCTCGTGGTTTGCTGGGGTTCTGCTGTCTTGCCAAAGACCTCAGATTTCACATTTACCCTTGGGAGCCTGCTAGGGAAGACAAAGGAATCACTTGGGATTTCCAGTTATAAGACTGCACTTCACCTAAAGATATTCCCAGCTCGTAAAACCAGTGTTTGGAACCTCACGACCTCTACTGCTCCTCACTGAGGACCAGTGGAGAATATTTCTGACCGGACCAAAAAACTCGGGCAACGCGAACAAGGTGAAATAATGAGGTGCCTGTATTACACTGCTATGTGTAAATGAGTGACCCAGGTGCACTGGAAAAAAAGTCTGATTTGAAATAGTAACTTAGAATGAAGTCTTTTAAGGCAAATAACATCAAATATTGGTGTATTCTTAATTTATTCTCAATGGACAGATCTGTAACAGATATTAACAATGCAAAAAAAAAAGTAGTAAATCCCATAACCCGCTAATGTATAGGATCTACTGAAAATTACAGCTTACAACTGTGCAAACAGGATCTAAGACAATTTCTCTCCTCATTTCTTGGGCACAACTAAAGCAGATACTCTACATTAGCACAAGTCTATGGTAAAAACAAGGGCTAAAGAGAGAGACTGAAGGCAGGCCTACAACGTGTGAGAATACGTGCTAGCTCTACCTTGATGCAGTGGGAAATTTACACATGGATGTATTCTGAATATGCACAAATAGATTCAGAATAGATTCCTGAATTACTGCCATATGAGTAATTAATGGAATTAAGGCATCTCCTCAGCTGTTCTGGAGAACTACACTTACACACAGATTTTCAAGTTACACCCCGCAACCTACCCAGATAGTTAGACCAGATATTGTATTATGCTACGTTAAGAGAGATAATTAGTGCTTACAATGCATGTCAGCACAGTTGCACAAGACACGCAGTTGATAGCACCAGTTCAGGCAGCCTGCCTTATTCAGCGTCTTTTCATCAGCAGCATCCAACTAGCCACCTAGAACTCCTTTTCTTGGCATGCCCCTGATGAAAGCAATGAACACACACGGGTTTAACAGCCACAGGTTCTTGCAGGAGGCCCTTTTAAGAAAAACAGACATCTCCATAGCATAACCCAAGTAACCGAGTCACAATTTAGTATCAACCCCTCCCGCACACAACGTTCAATCCATAAAGAATTCCTGACCCATTTTTCAGCTTTCTGCAGATAGCTGACACCCCAAAATCCTTCCATATCTAGGTTATAATTCCAAGAACTATCTCTAGCAAGATGACTCAAGGATCTTCCTTCCCTTTCGTGCATTTATACACGTGCACGTGAAAAGCTACTATCAAATATAATGAGATTATGGCTAGATAATGAAGCACAACCTGGCAACCACAGTGCTCTTCAGTTCAACCCCCAGATAACAATAAAAAACTAGTGAAAAGTTCACTACATTATTACCTTGCCACTTAACATCTGACACAGCAAATCTCGTCACATTTTTACATTACCTGTACCTTCTCAATTACAGGTTTATATTAAGTGACTGTACTTCTCCTCCACATGTATATAAAACTCATTAACTAGTTTACTGATACTAAACATGACGACAATGGTGTTTGGTTTTCTGGTTGTGTTTTTTTTTGTTTTGTTTTTTTTTGACAAAGTATCTGCCAACAGTTCACAGTATAATTTAAAAAGCACATTTTCAGTAGTGCCCTTATATCTTGCCCTAGTTTTTCCTTGCATCATAGTAATTATTAATCATTTGTATACTGATATTAAAGTGCCCTTCCATTTTATGATACAGTTATCTCATTTCTGTAGAGGCTTTTCCAGAGGGCAAAAACTCGCAGTACAACAAAGCCTTCAGTTCTCAACATGTGCTGCTAATTCATCTGCTAGAGAAAAGCTTGAAAAGCAAAGTAACTTCAAATTTTGTTCGTAAGTTGAGAAAAATTACTTACAAAAACCTTCCAGGGTGCGATACGAGATGGCACAATTTCATTGACCAGGACCAAAGACTGGAAACTTTCCAGCTGTAGTTATACTTTCCAAATTTTAAATTTTACTCAGATCCAAAGCCAAATTTTTATGTTAAAAAAAAAAAAAAAGAAAAAAAATCAAACCCCTGTGCACTGGAAACCTGCCTTTCCCTTAGTCCTATAAACACCTCTGTATGGGACACCACACCCGACAGTACCTTAGCTGCAAACTCCCCGGGAGGGAAACACCGAGAGAACACGGCTCTGCCTTACACCGCAGTAGAGTTTCTGTTATTTCCGTAGCTTTTCTTTGGCGTTCACAGCCCAGAACCTCTGCCCACAGCTGGAACCCAGCCCTTCCCTCCAGAAACCCTCGAGAAACAGCTCCAGTCTTCTTCTGAGCAAAAACGGGAAGCTGCAGACCCCTTATTAAATAGTGGCTAAACAGCATTCACCTGCAATGGGCAGGACAGACAGCTCCCCACCGGAGGGAATTCAGCGGTATTGCCCAGCTCTCGGAAGCATGGCCTAAACTTCCCACATAATTGCTACTGGGTTAAGAAGGCATGCGAGAGACTTCATCCCTCCGTGGGAGCTGCTCTGCTTTGCTGCTTACTGGGCTGCAGAGAGAGGGTATAGAGGTGACTTTAACCGTATATGCAGGGTCCTCATCTAAAAGAAACATGTTATAAGTCTCAGTCATCAGTCCAAGGAGCAATACATATATATATATTTTTTTTTAACTGAGACAATCTCTGGCTAAAATCCATATTTAACAGCTGTGGTGGAATGAGCTTGACATTTATTTTCTCATTAAAAGCACCACAGTATGTATACAACAAAAATGTATATAAGGCAATATTATGCAAGTTGTTGTTGGGATCAGTTCCCAAAAGCAGGCTTTCCTACTACAAATGGGAGTTTTCCGTTAAAAGGAGGTTTACCTTCCGACAGCCAACCTGTATTTACACTGTGCCCCCGCAGTGACGCATCGCAGCCAGTAAAGAAATTCCACTCGGGAACTACACAGTGGTTTGTCTAAGGGAGTATTTTCTCCCCTGCTTTTCATATTCTGAACTATGTCTCTAAATTTCTCGGAGCTTTTATTTCATTACCTAGGAATAATCTTTAAAAAAAGCTTTCACGTTAACAAACCCTCCACTTTAGCCCTGCGGGAACATGATCTCCTATTCAGTGTTTCCACAAATAGATCAGAAATTACTACATACATTGCTCCAGTAATTAGAGACAGATGTAGTTTTGAACAGAGGCCTGTATTTTATGTTACCAGTATGAATCATAATAATTCTGATTAAATTAGTGAAGTATCATTCTATTAAGCAACAGCAATCTTTGGCCCTCAAATGCTGAGGCATTATGAGAACCCAACGCATTGGCACAAGCTGTTTGCAAGTCACCCATCAGCTTTTCCTGATCTTTTGCTGCCTTTCTCAGAGGGAACACAAGCAAGAGGAGAACCAACCTAAGTGTTTGAATTTAGATCAGTCTTAGAGCATTTTGAGTTCAAACCAGACTTCTGGAAGTTTTGGAAAAGGAACAATGTGTATACAGGCAGTGAGTATATTTCAAATCACAGCACGGAGCCAAATATGAGTTTCCAGAAGATCCACAGTCTTGGGGATGTATTCCACAATACAGCTACTGTAGCATTAACATTTCATGCTGGAAAAAAAATGCTGAAGGACAGCACTGACATAAAGAAATATTCCTAACAATGTACCGTGGTCTTCTTCCTCTCATATTTACATTCCAATTTTGCAAGTTCAATTTTCTAAGTTTTTAATATTGGAGGTAAACGCCACACATCTTCCAAGAGAAAGCAAAACCACACACACAAGAATGGAAGTTATTACTTCACGCGGGTGTAATTCAACAGGAAGCCAGAAAGCTTCCTTCAAGGTAGAAGTTTTGGCGCACGGTCTCTAAACACACTCTCCAAGTTAAACTTTCTGCTGCTGGTGAGTAATTTTTCACCCCCACAACCTGTTCCTCAGAATTCAAGTTTATTGAAATGCAGTAGTAAACCAGAATTAAATACACACGTACTATCCAAATATGAACATGTCTTTAAGGAAAATAAGTAGCAGATGTTTTTTCCTCTGCCTTGCCCCTACTGACTCACACAGACCCTGCTTGTGCACATCAGGCATCTATAGCTTGGAGCCTCCTTAAGAGGCTGTCTCTTCCTCAAAAGCACAAAGCAGATGTTTAGATCTACCCAGTCCCAGTGCCAATATATGCACACTGTTAACTTTTCTAAACCATAATGTAAGGAAGATTTTATTTTTTTTAACCTTGAGAGATTTTTGGACAACAAATCAACGTAAACGTTAAGAAGTCTACTCACTTTACCTCATATTCAATTTGTTTCTGTTTTAGAAAAGTATTTGATTAAAAAAGTTAATTGAACTGGTGCAAGATTTTGCATGGACAGTTATGTGCTACTATATGGTGAACCCTACTAGATCATCCTCATTCACTGAAACCCCTCAAGTCTCCTTATATTTGATGTTTATAACTATAAAAAAACCCATAAGACACTCATGGGAAGGCTGAATGCTGCAGATTTAAGTTTACAAACCTGGCTCCCACCATTCCCTAAATAATTATTGCAAATTTTGTAAATATCTTCTAGTCTCAAGCTACTTCAGAAGAACAACCCCTGGTTAGAGCAGCTCAGTTCTAAGCACTTTTCACTGCTCACAGGCAGCGGCATGGGTGATGACTCAGGCCTCACCACAAGACGCTGGAAATGCATCGCTGGCCAAGAGGCTGTAACACCCATCTGCTTCGGTTCCTGAGCAAGCCTGCCAGCTCCACCGGGCCTTCCCAGCGAGGGCAAACGTCTGTCTGACACTTGCTGCGGACGCCTGCCTTGCCACCGTTGGACGCTGCTCCTTGCTGTTACTGTAAACAGCCTCTCTTGGATAATTTTCACAGTCATTATGTGCCATCATATCTCTGTCAAAGACTGCCAAAGGTTTTGAAAATCACGGTTTTACACTAGTGCTTGAGGTGTTTAAAGAGATAGCGTAGTCAAGCTGTGGGGGAAAACATACACCCAAAGAGACAACCCAGAACCTCTTAGTGGTTCTTTCCTGCTTTAAGATCTTCACTTCTAGGACTGATGGCAAAGCATGATTTCCATAAAGAAATTCTTCTAGGGCAGAGTTTTTTTTGTTTTTTTTTTTAAATATCTTAGAATCTTTCTGAAAATACCAACATACTATCTTGCATATGACTGTTGATTCATGTTGCCAGGTGAGGTGCTGATACACACCTAGCATTTACGTCATGTTATTTTACGAAATAATAATATTACCACATTTATTCTAAATATTTACCTTACATACTGACATGAGTTGGAAACTGTATGGCTACTGCAAAAAAGCAAGGCCCCAACACAAACCCACAGGCTGCAGCGGAACCGGGACCGTCCATGAGGCTGACCGGGTACCACACATCTCGGATGGAGAGAGGCAGGAGAGGGGTGGGCTGCTCCCACCTTCCGAAGTGAAAGGACCTGGTGTGCTCTGAACCTTCTTGTAATGACAACTTTCAGGTCCTGACAGACAGCGGCTCATCTCAGCCTGAACCCAGCTGGTGCTTTGTGACAGGCTGGAAGTTTGCTGTAAGGCAACCTTAGCATTCGAAGGGTGTTTAAAAATAATAATAATAATAAAAAAAGGTTCTGAGCAACGTGCTGATGTAGAAACCCTTTTTTTCAAGGCCTGTTTAGGGTTAATGAAGACCTAATCAAACTGCGGTCAGGCTCATGCAAATATATTTGGTTTTTTGCAGTTTCC